CAAGGACACACGATACTTTTTTCTTTTTTTTTAACTCTTCCAAACTGCCTATTATACAAGTACACACTGACTCCAGGCTTTTTCTCTAGTAAGAGCTTTGTTCTCTTCTCTCCTTGGGTAAAAACTTTTCTTTCCACACCTAGAATTTAGACTTTTATAAACTCAGATCTATAGCATTTCATTGTCCACTTTGGAAAGCATGTTTTTTCTACATGATTGGGATGATAGACTCTTTAGGAAAAGATTTATGTATATATTTGTATCTATTAAATTATAATCTAAAAGTTAATATTTAAAAGTCAATTTGTAGGCTATAATCACAAATTCCAAGGCTGTGTACACCTTTTGGCACTTGGTAAGAACTCTATTGCTTCTTTTAGTGTTATTAATAATGGCAAGATGGTAGAAACCATGGTTGTGTCCAGTGTTTTTAAAGGAGCAGTTTTTAAATAAATCAAGGAACAGAGCATTATTTGGCTTTAAAATCCATGGAACACTCATATATTAAACAAAAAGAAATCTGGAAAACAAAGTAGTAGTTATGTCTAATGCAGTTTAATTTATGTATGTGGAAGGCAGTATAGAAAAGTGAAAATCATTTTGCACAGGGGAAGTAAGGAATAGCTCCTTTTATTATCAAACATCATTGGTGTATACTTTTGTATAATTTTTTTAATTATGAGTAAAACACGACAGAATATAATAACCAATTAGTGAGGGTTAGTTACAGGAATGTTTTTAGTAGTCATTCATTTTATTAAAATGTAAATTTACCTCTCCAAGAAACTTATCTCTCCAAGCCTTAGAATCTTCATCTGCAGATGGGGCTGTGAGCTCTGTGCTCATTCAGTTGGAGAACTCTCTCACCAAATGTTTGCTCTTTCTACTTCTGCTCATCCACCTCACTCACACACAGGGCACAACTATGAATTATTTCTAGTTCTTTGTGAAATCCAAGTATTCAAAAATAAAGACTTCCTTTTCTTGGTTCTTTGGAAGAGCATACCACAGACTAAATATGAAAATCAAATATATTTTTGAATAATGGTAATATCAATAAAGTCCACATTTTCTAAAAGAACTACTTAATAAAGGTCTAAACATTTGAATAACAAGGTGATTTTCTAAAAATGACTTTTAAGATATACAGAGCTGGCTGTGGTGGCACAAGCTTGTAATCCTAGCACTCTAGGAGGGTAAATGAGGATTGCACGTTAGAGCCCAGCCTGCACATTTTAGCAAGATTCTGTCTCAAAACTAAACACAAAGGGATATGGATATAGTTCATTTTGATGGCCTTGGCTTCTATCCCCAGCACTGAAAAAAAAAAAAAAAGGGGGGGATACAGGTCATTAGGTAGGGGGTTGGAATGAAAGGAGCATAATAGAGCTGGTGACAAAAAGAGATAATAAGTAAATAAACATAAAACAAAACGATGAAATAAAATAGCACAGGTTAAAAAAATGCAGTATAGATGCTAGAGGGTGATATTATTAACTCATTTTCAGGAAGGCTCTGTGGAGGATAGATGAATTATGGAGGTTAAATTATTAGCTCAAGGTCAACTTCTTGATAGCTGACATTGGTGATGTCTCGCAAAGTTGATTTAAAAAGCAAAAGCTGGCACCCATTCACACCAAGACTCATACAACTGCTTTATCAAAATGCCCTGATAATTTTTGTGCCGAAACAAAGAAGTTGTTCTAACAGACTATTTGAAATAAAATAAGATATAGTTTCTGTTCTTGATCATTCCTGCTTCTAAATTCTTTTGTTAAGTGATTTATGCACACTTATCCAGAGCGCAATTAACTTAATATTGGGGAATATGGCATTTTTAATCCCAGTGTTTAACAAGTTGCTACATGATTAGGGCTTTACAAATAATTAACACTCTTGTATATAAAATTTCATTAATTTCATTTCAGAGTATGAAGTACTAATATTTTCAAATTTTTAATCATCCATACATAAAAGACTCAGCAGAAATACCAGAGGGGTATTATAGCTCTGATAGTATAGTTCGATGAGAAATTAAACCACATTTTTTGTTTTTGTATTAATCATACTTTTCTGCTTTTGGTGTTTTGTACTTAGATGTTACATATGAATGATTTCATCACAGAACACATTTAAGAAAATGAAGTTACTAATATATGGAAGAAATTAAATATAGTATTTTGAAAATATTCATTGATTTGATCATTTTCATGTTAAGTGTGAAAATCCTATCTAGAATTATTCAATCAAACTACAAGCTTCTTTTCCACTGACCTATGTAGAAGACAAACACTATATAAGATTTATACTTTAATAAGATTTGTCAGAATAGTTTTGGCAAATATTCTGGTAGACTATGGACCAGATCTGTTATTCCCCTAGAGGCAAAACTAAATTCCCTGAGTTTCCTTAAATGATACGAGCAGTGACTAAACTTTTTTCATGTTACTTAGCAAAGATTCATGGTTCAATTCATTAAGTGCTTAACATGGCAATGGCATAGATGTTACAATTAACTGACAACAATTTTTTCTTTTTCTTTTTTGGTACTGGGGATTGCACTCAGGACTTGGTGCTTGCGAGGAAGGTGGTGGCACCACTAAGTTAAATCCCTGGATCTATCTGACAGCAATTTTGACAGTCACCAGAAAGGCATTTCAATGAACAATCATGAACATGCTTGAGTCAAATAAAAAAACAAAAACAAAAACAATAGTTTCAGTAAAGAAATAGAAGGTGGTCAGAGAAATCATCTGATGAATTTTGAACTAAAAAAATACAACAGTAGAATTAGTGAAGTTGAGGATAGAACACAAGAAATTACCCAATAAGAACAAGGAAACATGGCTGAGGAAATGAAAGGAGTTTTAGGGATGCTTGGGTCTAAAACAAAAGATCTACCATTGAGTCACTGGAGTCCTAGGAAAAAATAGAGGAGTGTTAGGTTGAGAAGATATTTCAAAAAATGATGGCTGAATGTTTCTAACTTTGAGCAAAGACAAAGCTACACATTCAAGAAACTGAACAAACCCCAAACTGGATAAATACAAAGATCACACCAAGATATATTCTAATCAAACGTGTGAAAACTAAAGACAAAGTCACGAACACAGAGAAATGAAGCACTTTTGGCATTAGGGGAAAAGGAAAGTTAAAATAAAAAAAAAAATAAATATTAACTCCTGTCAAGGATCTTAAATTCTTCATTTGTTGATTCCCTCTGTTACATATTCTACCTTTTTAACTGAACTTAATAAACAAGAGAGCATTTGTTATGCATTTACAAATTGTGCTGGATATGTGGGGGACACTTAGTAATTGCGCTCTCGTAACTGCTCCACAGCAGGTATTTCCCATCAAAATAAATCTAGGGATTCTAGAATTGGAAAAAAAAAGTCTAAAACATTGAAAGAAAAAAAAAAGGAATATAATAAATTTCCAATTTAGCACTCCTGAATGGACTTCACCTCTGTGAATTCTCTGAAATTAATCTAAAAAATGCTAGCATATATTGCTACTTTTCTAGGGAAAAGTACAACTCTGACTCTTAAGGCAGCTGGTCTTTATAAAAGTTTTAAGAATTTCTTATATTTTTAGGAAAAACCATATAATCCAACTTAGGTGAGAAATGAAGCTATTTTTAGAAGATGTTATTCCCATCACATCCATGAGAAATTCTTGTAGGCTTCTCCAGAATTCCCTAATGGGAAAATAGGAAAATGGCAGTTTTCTAATTCAACTTAGAAACTTCTGGAAATAAACATTCAATAAAGAATGTTTGCAGCAGTTCTAAATCAAAGATTTAAAAAAAAAAACAAAACAAAACAGGAGACTGAATGACTACTGTATTGTGATTTAAATTTACTTTCAATTTGATTTCACCCATTCCAGTGAAAAAGTTCAGACTTGAGAGGAAGCAGCAGCCTCTCTAAATCAGTACCAACAGTCTTGTATGGGAGATAAAATGATTTTACAATTTGCACCATTCCTTTTTTTTGCCCTGCAAAAAGCACACAAAATCAAGCTCTAATAATTACAACATGTAACTGCCAATTTATGTTACTATGAATTTTGTACACACATTAGCTTCCCTATCTTTATTAGGTGTTCTTGAATCCTTATACTTTTTATCATATCTCTCATGCAAACCAGGTCAGCTCACTCTTGGATAAACACAATGCAAATTGGATTTTATTTGCTCCTGGTGGTTTTCTGATGAAAACTGAGGCTCTCAATGTCACCTAGAGAGCTAGATTTAAATCCATAAATGAGTCTGATTTATTTAAACTATTTTGCGCTGGCTCCATCGTTGGAATTCAATGAATCACTGAAGGACCCTTGTTAAACACAATTCTAGGCTTTACCCCATTGGTATACAACCAGGAGAGGTTTTGGGAATCAAAAGTTTGTCAAGTGCCTATAATGATTTCTGAGTTCTAGTAAGTTGCAGCAACCTTACTGAACCTGTAACAGTATACAAGTTATCTTAGGCTCTTGAACAAATTTATTATGACCCAGTTATATGAGGTCATAAAGTCTGCATTTCTATGAAGTCCCTAGGTAAACAGTGTTGCTGGTTTGAGGACTCTAGAAGCAGCTAATCACAGAAGGTACATAACATGTCTTATTTGGCTGGTTTTTCAAATTAGTACAGATAATTATTCCATGCTTCTGTATCTGTAGATTTTCTACAAGGGCCCTTTCCTATTTCAATATTACCCACTTGTCACTGATGGTCTCTTCAAGCTAGTGATATGTTAAAGTAAGGCCACCCATACTTCTCTATTTAGATTATACAGAAGTTTGTACACACATAAAAATTACCCAAAATAAACAGAAATGAACACCACACATTAACTTATAACATAATAGATTTATATTTAATATAGTACTGTACTTAGTGAATACTGATCTCAATAGTAAAGGGTTTTTAAATTACAGTAAATTAATTTTCCATTTGTCAATATAAAGGGCTTTGTAAAAAAAATTAAATATTTTCTTCATTCCAGTATTGGATACTTTTTCTAAATTTTCTCCACCCAGAGATAAAAATTTCAATTTTTGGCTATTTGATATCTAAGTACAATAATAACTTGCAAAATAAAATAAAAATCCAAAAACATGAAAAAAAAGACAAAACGTTTCAGTAGGCAGTGACTGGAACTAAACACTAGTGATTTGGAAGATTCTGGGCAAAAGCTTCCTTAGTCCTATTTCATGTGCTCTGGTAATTCTGAAATTATAAAATACTGCTTATCCATTTTAAGCCATGTTAAATCTTTGACCTACTTTCTAAGTAACAAACCACTGGCTGCATTTTTCAGTGCATTATTTGTTATAAAGAAAACATTTTTTCACACTTAACGAATACTGATTTGTTTCCCTTTCTGTGGGAAACAACCAAGAATGTGAAAAACCCTATTTACTGTTTCTTGGTAACTTTAGAGACCACAGCTCAGGTTGGATCTCAGGAGTACGAAGGTTTTCAGGGTGAAATTTGACTCAGCAGGCCCTTAAAAGTCAGGCCCTTAAAAGTCACATTTGTCCATTTCTCTTTCGTGCATACACCCCTAAGCAAGCACAAATGCCGGTAATGCTGAGAACCACACCTAACAAGAGAGCAATTGCATCTCCAGCTTCTACTGCTTCAACAACAGGCAGAATCAGAAGTAGTGAAATGACCACTAAGAACAACTGTGTTGAAACTGAGGTCATGATGTTGGGATGCAGGAGACTGAAGGTTCCTAGAAATTAAACATGGAAACAAAAAGGATCCATTAAAAACTCTTACCTTTCCGAGTAACAACAACACGACAAATAACAGTCCACCCAATCTCTACATTTATGAATCATTTTAGATTCTGTACATCTCATTTTACAGATGAAAAAACCGAGGAAAGTAAAAAGACAGTCATTTGAAGATAATCTCAAGACAGTACCTCAGCTCCTGCAATTCAAAGAATGCTAAGAACATATGCATATAAAACAAACAATTACAAAGCAGAACGCAATTGAGAACAGGAAAAAAAAAATGCACAAAACACTCGGAAATTTAAAATATCCCCAGTGAGTAAAAATCAAATTTTCTTAATGTCTCTGTCATCTAGGAAACAGACACAAATCTGGCTAAAGTCACACAACATATAACCCTGTGAAGTTGTGAGGAATTAAGACTTACCAAAGAAATGATGTATGTAAAATTCTATCTGATTTGAAATTCTCTTTTTGGGTCTCCGGACGCTGTGGCTAAGAAGTTACACGTGACACGGCCTATTACAGTTGGGAGGGAAGAAGGATTTAAAAATTACTGTTTTAAAGAGGAAGCCAAAGTCAGTATAGGGCAGATAAATTATATGGAAAGGAGGGAAATGGGTAATGCGTAGAGAAAACAGTTTGTCCAAGAGGGGAACTAGATTTGAAAGTTGATCAATTTTCCTACATAGAAAAGATAAAAGAAACTGAGCCGAGAAGCAAGTTCATTCCAGGACCTGGTACAAAGATTTGAAAAAGAATCCCTCTTTTGGCCCAGTGAGGCGCAAATCTGCCCCGTTTTACAAATACATGGGGCAATCCAAGTATCTTCAGAGCTGAGTTCGTACATTACCTTTTGGGAAGCAGCCATTACAGGAATAGCGATGAGGGCGGTGTCTCCAGACTACATTTCCCAGAATCCCCGCTGACCATGACTCCCACAATGCACCGGCGCGCTCGGCTGTAACTGGCTGAGGGCTTGACGGTCGCTTTCTTGCTAGGCTGCCTGAGGCCGCTCCCGGGGTTTCCTCTCTGGGACCTACCTCTTAGTGTTAAATGAGTGGTGATGTTGTTTATCCAAAAGCTCAACTAAAAGTAAAGAAATGATAGGAGGTGTTTTTTTGCCCTTCTCAGGGGTTCTAAAGGCGCAAGGAGTTGTATCTTTTTCTTTGACTGAAACGAAGACGTAACAAAGCGGAGAGGGAAACCTAGTAAGTCATCTGTTTCTGATGCCTTTAAACCAGAGGCTTCAAACATTTCTGAAGTAGGGAAATTCCTGTTACTAGATTTCTAATGTGCCTTAGGGTATTCGTTAATTCACTTAACCAGCGAGGAAAATAGTCTCTTTAATAAAACATTTCGGAAAATAATTAAATAATATTTGTGGCGTAAAAGACATAAACTTTAGCAAAAATAAAAAAATTTAAACTCTGTAAGCAGAACTTTTCTGAGGACTCAGGTTATAGAATTCTGAGATTTTTTTTTCAGTAGTGCAGTTCAGTAATTCTTTCACCATTTTGTTTTTAATGAGATAACCCCTCCCACTCCCAAATGTTCCCAAATATTTATAAAATGTCAGATTATTATTTTAAAACCATATAATGAATTATTTAAATCTTAACACATTCTAAGGGTTCTCTCCAAGTCTTAATATTTGTGGCTTCCTTACTGTATCTTTGTAGTCATCTTTTGAGTTTAATTCGAATTTACAGACGACTATTTGACACCTCACACTGAGTATTATGTGGAAGTTAATGGTAAAGTTGACTTCCCTGCTTGAAAGTCCTGCAGATATTGCAGGTACATCTAGTTCATTTCTCATAATCATCATGTATTCTTCTGTTGTTGGATCCTTTTTTCATATACATTCTTGGTCTCTCTAGATAGCAAAGATTTTTAGTCCTGGTGCCCAACACGTAGTCATCAGTGCTGAGTAAGTAACATTAACTAATAATTTGATTAGATCAATATGCCAGCAAGATTTTATTGAAGACTGATTAAGAGGTGGCAAATAAAATAAACCAATGTGTCCAGCAAGTTCAAAGTCTGAGGATAACTGCACAATAATGCCAGTATTTCTTCTCTTAAGTTTGATCATTCTAACAAGTTCTTACTAATTACCTCAGTTGTCTTGTGCTACATTTGGTTTTGTACCTTTCTAATCAACTATTTTTTAAAAATAGAAACAATTTTTATGTCTCCCAAAATATTCTCATATCTTAATACTAACATTTGGGAGATTTTATTTTCCTCTGTTTATTTCAGTTAGCTAAAGTCTGTGCACTAAAGTTGGTATTGTTAAAGACTTCTGAGTTTGTCAACATTGATGGTAATGGTTTGGTTTTCAGTTTGAAGAATCTGTGGATAGTTAACATGCTTTTTTTAAAAAACAATTAGTGTGTTTAAGAGATCAGTCAATGATTTGGCCATCTGTAAAAGAGTGGCAGAAGTTGGTACAAGGGTGTTCTGGGCCCAAATAGTATTAAAATAAAATTGCTTGAGTTTTCCCAATCAATACTGAGCCCAGTCAGGCACCTGGGCAAAGATAGTGCTGTATGTGCTTTCGTGTGCCTCACGACAGTCCTCATTTTCAAGTCAGGTCATACCTCTGAGGTTTTTGTTCTTAACACCCTACCTAGTAATTTTAGAAAAATCCTATAATTTACACCTTTCCTCAGGACCCTCCAATTTTATCACATTAGGCAGAAGTCCAAGCTCCTTGCCATGACTCACAAGGTGCCATATATTCCAGCCTCTGCCTGCCTTTGTGATGCCAGTGCTCCACTGATTTTGTTCCAACCACACTCATTTTTTTTGTTTCTCAAGCATGCTAATAAGCTGATTTTTTTCTATAGTCATTGCTCTTGCTATTTTCTGTGCCAGTAATACTTTTCCCATGGACATTGTTATGACTGCTTTTCTCAACGTTGTTGAGTTGAAACTTTACCTCCTTTTTCTGAGTATCTCATTAAAAACAAAACAAACTCTTTAGTTTCCCCTCTTTCTTTTGCAAACGCTGTCCATTAATAACAAATTACATTAAGCATTTTTATGTGTTTAGTACATATACAGATACATTAAAGTGAAAATTTCATGAGAGATAAGAAGTGCTACTGTCTTGTTCACTACTGAATTCTCAATTACTGGAACAGTTTCTAGCATGATAGATACTTTAGTAGATATTTTGTTATTGAAATAATGGATGAGTATATTTAGTGTAAGATCAGAGTGTAATATTTAGTCATTGTTATACTGTTCATAGTAGAAATTACCACATAAGAAAATTTGCTTTTGGGCCAAACTATGAAGATATTTAGACTGAAGTTATTTTGAATCTTTATTCAGAATTTGGATCTCACATGTCTTTTCCATAACAATTTTTGTAGAAAGAATTTATGTCTATGTAAATATAAGTGGCAGTGACATCTAAAAAGGAATGCACTTTGTTTAGAAACATGGATATAATGTTCCCTATTTCCTACTTGTGACCCTAGAATCTTGACAACAAATGTTGATTGAGATCCCTGGGCTACTACATTAAATATTAGGGTGATCAAATCAAGAATTTAGTTTTTTCAGGTCAAGAACATCTAAGCTAATACCACCTTTCACTAAAATATAGATAACTGGTTGCAGAACATCTAAGCTAATACCATCTTTCACTAAAATAAAGATAACTGGTAGCCAGTGATACTCAGAGACAATGTTACTTTAGTCACTTGTCTGAGAAATGAAAGGAAAAATTTCTCAACTTCCTGCAAATTAGAAATGGTTTCAAAGCAGAAAGAAATGGCTTCTTCTCATTTTATAACTGTTGGAAGTGAGTCAGGGCTAGATCCTGAAGGAAGGCACCCCTGGATTCTATCAAAGGAGGCAGTATAGGCTGACATCAGGGTTTTGCAGAAACTGGTAGGTGTCAAGGATTCACAAACCACAGTGTTTCTCATTAGCAGTTGAGCCAAGCAAAGTGAGTAGAGACATTTTACTGGAGCTTTACAACTGAAAAAGGACCTAGTCCTTTGGAGCTAGTCAGTATTTCCTATCAAATAATAGAACATTGGCCCTGAGAGTATTATGTTAGGCTAATTAATCATTAGGCTAATAGACTAGCATAAACCACACATTCTGGTTCTATTCAGTTGCTAAAAAAAAAAAAAAAATTCCAACACTTACTGGGGCTAAATAACTCTATGCTAGTACTTGTACAGAGTGTGTGAGAGAGATGCAAAAAGTCATTTTTGGCATGATTCTGGGCACAATCTAGAGCCCATAGAGGATATGGTTCTGACTCATACCAATGAACCTCAGTTATGTGAGAGTCAATTACACTCATAAACCTGTATTGTCCAGATAGATAAAGGAACTCTATTTTAAGAAATATAGTATTATATTGCTTGGCTTGTGGGAGTCAATTAGGAATGCCTTATAGGCCAAACATTGTTTTAAAAAGTTGGCAGATTATCTCTGTACTTAGTACTTTATCCATGGTAATGGGCTTGGATGAACATAGACTTTGGAGACTGTCAATATTTGACCAAAAATTAACACCTGCCATTTATTATGAACTTTATGAACTTATACATATTATCTAACTTTTCACTTTTTTGATTTTTTTATTGATACACCTTTTGTACATATTTATGAAAAACATTGTGATAGCTGGATATATGCATAGAATTTGTAATAATTATACCACAGTAATTAGCATTTGTATCTCCTCAAACATTTATCACTTCAGTGGGTTGACAGCCTTTGGATTCTTCTCTTGAAATTATTTTAAAATGCATAATAAATTGTTGTAAACCACATCTACTTAGCTACTCTATAGAATAGTGGAGCTAATTTCTGCCATCTAATTGTATTTTGGCACCTATTATTCAGAATCTTTCTCCTTTCTCTCTCTAGTGACCACTGTTCCATTCTTCACTCTTATGCGATCAGATTTGTTAGCTTCCAACAGGATATAAGAACTCCCCTTTCTCTGTATTCTCAGCAGCATTTTAAATATTTTCTTTCTGATAGTAGGCATTTCAAATGAGGCCAGATGAAAGTATTAAGTCAATACTTAAAAACTTGGGTTTTCCCATCTATATTTAGGAAGTCTTCAAGGGATTTACTAGTCTTCATAGGATTGCATAAGGAGATTAAATGGGGGGACATGTAAGATGCCTGTGGCTAGTATCAGACTAAAAGTTTCAGAAATGTAGAAGTAACTTTTCTTTAAAAAGTAAAAACAAAAGATTCTTAAAGAATGAAACTTTCAGAAACAGGGGTATCAAATAATACATAGTATGTAGTGCACAGGAAACAAAATCAAGATTAACTTATTTTATGGGAGCATGAACAAATTTACTATGGAAAAAAATGCTTAGTAAACATGGTTTCACGCTGCATGTGGTATATAGGTTTTTAGTTATTATAATACAATACTCGAGGCAAGTTATTTTATAAATCAGAAAGGGTTGATATAGCTCTCCATTTGGAGATTCAAGGTTGTGGAGCTGGCATTGGCTTAGTTCTGGTGAGGGATATCACTCTCTTGACTATGTCATATCGTGGCAGAGGAGCACATGTGTGGAATTGGTTATATGGCTAAATAAGAAGAAAAAGAGAGATGAGTGTCCCATAATCTCTTCTGATGGCATGCCCTTTGATTCAAGACCCAAGGACCTCCCATTAGGCCTCACCTTCCAGAGTTTCTACTATCTCCCAGTGGTGCCATCCTGGGGACAAAGCCATTAATCACAGTGCTCCTTCTGGAGACGCAAACCATATCCAAACTATAGCATGCAGTAAGATTGATAGGTTTATATGTATAATTTAAAACCTCTTAAAATAGTAACT